CTCAAGTTTTCTCACAAGCAACACATCGTTGTGGAATGTTTCAATTTCAATGATCTGTCATTTTCTAATGGGAAGATGTTTCCTTAAAAATTTCCAACCAGCTATAGTGGAGATGCACCACCCCAGTGGGATATCTGGAAGCTTTATGTCTCAGGCTGGACTTCCAGGAGCCCTGGGGATCACAGACATTACAACTCATTCAAAGGGCATATGCTACAGACCTATCTCCATTAAGCCTAGCTCAAAGATTACGGGGACAGCTCTGGGTGGAGAAGGTTGGGGCTAGTTCTTACTTCAGAGGGGTATTGTGAAATGTCATTAATTGATTGCAGATCATTTGGAGACTTTTAAACAGAATGTGCCTTAGAGTATTGAGCCCAGTTATACTATTCTTAGCCATCTGGCTGCCTAATGAGAAGTCCTTGCCAGCTGAACTGCTCTGGATGTGCCATAGGATAAATGAAAGGGGTTCATGAATTGCTGGAAGGTGGTAATGCTTATTCACCTGGGAAGACACCAGAGGATGGTGTTGGACATCTACTTTCAGATCTATCACCCAAATTGTTCAGTGTTTGAAGGAGGGCCCTGTGCAAGATTGCTTGGTACTTAGAGCTGCCATGTCACCAGTATGCTGAAGCCACTAAGCTCCATATTTGCTTTACCTCTGTTTCCTGATTTCCTAAGAAGAGGTATGGATCTGGACAAAAGCCAGCAGGCTCAGCTGAGTCCAGATAAAGCATTTTTCAGGGAAATAAATTCTGCTCAGAAAGTGAAATATTAATTACTCATTTGAATGTGTCTGTTGTAGTTTTTAGTCTTAGGATCATATCAGATGTCTCCCAGTTTCCCAGGTAGCAAAAGTGTCTGGAAATAACTTCTTTCATCATCAGCTAACAAAGAGACCATTTAGTCTGATAGCTCTCACCAGACACCCATATGGCAGTCACTCACCCACATACAGGACCAATATATAGATCACGAAAGGATCAGGGGGCTGGAGCACATAACTTATGAGGAGAGGCTGAGCGAACTGGGTTTATTTAGTCTGCAGAAGAGAAGAGTGAGGGGGGATTTGATAGCAGTCTTCAACTACCTGAAGGGGGGTTCCAAAGAGGATGGAGCTCGGCTGTTCTCAGTGGTGGCAGATGACAGAACAAGAAGCAATTGTCTCAGATTTCAGTGGGGGAGGTCTAGGTTGGATATTAGGAAAAACTATTTTGCTCGGACGGTGGTGAAGCACTGGAATGGGTTACCTAGCGAGGTGATGGAATCTCCATCCTTAGAGATTTGACAAAGCCTTGGCTGGGATGATTTACTTGGGATTGGCCCTGCTTTGAGCAGGGGATTGGATTAGATGACCTCCTGAGGTCTCTTCCAACCCTAATCTTCTATGATCATGCCAATTTCCTACCGGGTATACAATTCATGTATTTTGTGCAACGTCCCTGAACAGAGGTTTCCTTAGCCAGGCACAGGTGGCTGGCAAATTATTATCTACTGATTTCCATATTTCACTGATTCGTTTAGCAATAGCAGATGGAAGGCCAATTTTTCTGTTTGTGTTTGTTTACACTATTGACTTCTATGCAGTGTAATCCAGTTATACCACTGGACAATTTGGCTTGAAATTTTCATTTCCTTGACATTATATGAGCTGAGAATAACCAGTGCTGAGGAGATGGAATGGTACAGTATGATAAAAAACACAGACTGCCCAACCACAGAAGTGGAGCAGTACAACTGGACAAGCATAATACCATCTGCTACATAATCTGTAGCTTGCGCCCCATCATAGAATGGGGCTTCAGCTAGCATTCAGTGCTATTATCAGAGGTCAAGACCCTGAGACATAGCTCTGTCAGCCTTTTTGTGTTAATTTAGGCCTGTTTCAACCAATTATATTTCAGTTCCCATTCAGCTGAATAAATACAGAATGAAAGTGCAGTTCACTCAGAATATTCACTGGACATTTCATAAGAATTATAGGAGTGGAGGAAGTTTTCTCTTGTTATTGCTTTTGATTTCTGTGTGTCATGCCCTTAAAAGGAAGTATCATTCCTTTGGCCATTACAATGCACAGAAAATTCATAGCATGAAGAATCCTTGTAGAGACAGTAACATTAACAACGTGGGCCCCGATACAACTTGTATTCCGAAGTGCTGGCATAGCAACTCAGATCCTTATTATATCATATGATTATTATTATATATCGTGCCTGTTTAATTTTACTTAAAAAAAACACAACCGTCTAGGAATGCTAATATTTTAAATAGGCCGGAATCTTTTTCTCCGAAGACCACAGAAGGCAGAACCATTATAAATTAACATCCTTCTAGGCTACAGGAATGCAAAATGGCACATCGGGGAAAGTAAGATGCCACCCGATTGCCGGTGATCTAAAGCAAAGCTGATTACTATTAAGGCAAATAGTCTGTAGTTACATAGGGTGACAAGGAGCAGAGAATCATGTAGTACACAATTGCACCCTCTGTCAAAGAGATCACCATCAAATTGAGTGGTGAAGGCTAACATCTGGCTCTACAGCATTCTAAGGAGGCTTCTCTGCATACGGTGTTAATGAGGATAATATGTACATGACTCCTAGCAATGAAATGTTAATATTAAGAGAGACTAAAAAGGATACATGCTTGCAAAAATGTGTCATCATCATTTCAAGATCAGCTGACTCATGGCTTTATTTAGTCTTGGCAACCAGCTTCTGGCATAGGCTAAATCCTGCCCTCGGCATGAAAAGGCATCTACACAAGACTTTCAAGTGAAGATCTCTTCTAGTAAGTGATAGGCTGCATTGAATCAGGTCCTGCACAGAGCAGAGAACTCAAGGTTCGTGTGTCTGGGGGTATTGTGTAGGGCTAGTGCAACCCTATGCAGTATCTTTGAGGACCACTATATTACATTTATGAATGGTTTATGTAAAAGAGTGTTTTATTTCATGGGGGTAGGGGGATGATTACCACAGCTCCTTCAGGAACTAAAAACAGGTGAGGGGTGATTACCCCTGGGGATTATGAACAGCTGCTGGGAAGCACCACCCCCTGAGGCTGAGTTTTCCAAAGACTCAAACAAAGAAAGGGCTTTTGATATAAAAAACTGAGCTTGAAGTGACACAGGGCCTCTTTCTGATTCAGCAAACAGACAGGATCTTCTGTCCAAGGGGAGCCCTGATGCTCACAGTAGGCCCCATCAGGGCCCCATACACTGATGGGTGACTCCTGGTATGTTTAGTGGGCAGTTAAAACTGTGCATTGTTCTTATTATGTTTTCTCTGTGATGCTTTTTCCTCCTACAGTACTTGTGTTCCCTGCTGTTGGCACTTACAGACACCAACAACGTAGACCCCCCACACACACTCGCTGCCACCATAGTGTCACAGTTTCAGGGTTAACTGCACCCCCTCCAATGTTCCCTCTAATTTTTTCTATCCATGTGCAGAATGAATTTTGTTGTGGCCACCACTATTGAAGTAATGTGCAATTGTGTGCCACCAGTAGAAATCAAAAACCTAGACATATGTCCCTTCCAGTCCTACACTTCTATGCTTCTGTGCTGTGAGCCTCACAGTGAGATCTGTTCTGCCATAAGAGAAGCAGCATCCATTAAAATGAAAATTGCTTTGCCAATTGCCAGTGAGCCTTCCGAAGCCAAGCCTGCTACACAAGTCCTCTCTCTGACCTCAGGGACGTGTGTGTGCGGAGCCTTTGGGCCTCATTGTGCCTCTTGTGTTTGTGTGAGCTGGAAAAGTCATAAAATAAACAGGAATCTGACATGGCCCTCTCAGAAGAATGTAACCTGAGTGCTCAGTGTGGGTGTGAGGTGGGTATACAATCAATATACATTAGCTAGATCCAACCAGTTGGATTGACAGAGGCTCCCCAGCTAAACAGCCAAACCAGACTTTCTTCTTCTGCTGGGCCATGCTAAAAGCAGAATATTTCAGGACTAGCACTAGATCTACCCAAACACCTGCCCTAATCCTATTTCTACCTGATCTCGTCCAACCCCAATGCCACTGACCCCCTTCCCCAAACACAATTCAAAACTATTCTCTCTCTGGTGGGTAAACTCATGGTTCATTGCCCCTACTACATTTACAATTATGGAGAGGCGAGGGGAGGTGCATCCCTTGCTATACCTGTACAACAAGAGCAGCAAGTACAGTGCACCCATCTCAGAGTGTGGGTGGAGGAGAGGGGGAAATGGGGGTCATGGCTCTCCTGGCATCTAGAAACACCTTGGTTAGTAGCATCCAGACCCTACTCCGCGCTGAGCTGAGACCAGCCAGTGCTGAGAGCCCGTCTCTGGGTGGGTGAGCTGGGGTGGAGACTCTGTGCCCCTTCCTTCTTCTTTAGCTCAATCATATAGGGGAAGGCATCATTTAGCCCTTACTCTCCTGCAACATTCTTGTTCGCTCTGATGCAGAGTAGGGCATCTCTAATGGGATGTGAAGCCTCTCATAGTTCAAGCCCATCCGTAGTGACCAAACATTTCCGAGCTGATGGCTGGTGACGTAAGTGAAATGAGCTGGGTGGAGTCCGTTCCCAGCTGGCATCATGGCAATAATCAACCCTGATAATCGGTGGGCACTTGCAGCAGAAAAGCCAAGGACTGAATGGGCCATGGCAACTCAACCCTCCGGCCCACTCCTGGCATAGATGCTGGAACTGTGGATGCTGTCACACCTGCTGCCTTGAAGTGGTGGTCCAGCATATACAGGGTTTACAGTTTGGGTCAATGGCTCTCATAGTGTTTCAGCCTCCCAGCCTCCAGGTGGTCAAGGTACATCGGTGACGAGGGCAAAGGTTAAGGAAAGCTCAGGCTGCTGCCAGCTATACTGTCCTACAGATAAATGAAGGGCTTCGGTTATCCGGGCTTTTGCTCTGGCAGCTTTCACATGGACTGAAATTCACCGTGACATTTCCTTTTTTTTAATTTAAAGAAGATCAGAGTCGGTGTTAAAAACACACACCCGAAACTAGACAGAGTTGAAAAATATACAGGATTTGTTTTTATTGAGCACCAAAGTAGGAGACCCTACGTTTCGAATGACAAGCAGCACAAAACAGGAGTGATAGTATTGAATGAGTCATTGGGCCAGATTCTCACGTTGTGGAGGTCAGAGCGGCTCCATTGAAGGCACCGATTGACACCAGCTGAGACCCTGGCAGCTCGCGAGCACTGTGAGCATATAACTTCACATGAACAGTTTATTGTAGCACCAGACAAGCCTTAAAATGAGACTAAACACACATATGATGTGTTATTTAAAAGCTAACATTACCAGTTTCCTACTGAGCTTTTACAATGTTGCCTTAAAACCATTTGTTTTCTGGGCAGCAGAAAGAACTCAGGAAAATTTGTCTTTCAATATATGGTGTTGTCAAAAGCAGTATGAATGTTTATATTGGAAACGTAGCCTTCAGATCTCCGCTCCGGCTGATTTGTTTCTGAGTTTGACAATTTAAAAGAGCTTTTAAAAGAAAAATTAACACCTTAGCACCATTAGGTAGGCTGGATTTTCTACAGCATGTAGTAACCAGCAAACATTCAGCAGTACCTTATTTTATCAGTCTTCCTTCTTCTTCTTCTTTTTTTTTTAAAAGATTCATTTTGCAATGATTAAATTCCTGCTCTACAGCTCCTATCCAGGAAAGTACTCAGCCATGAGCTTAACTAGCATTGCAAAGCAAAATGCCCACCTCAAGTTAAGCATGTGTTTGAGTGTTTTGCTCAATGAGACCGGAGCCTAGGTGTCTGATCCTGCAAGGTCCTTAAAACACATAACATTGACTAAGGGCACTGAGCTCTGGAGCTGATTTAAAAATAGTAAAATATTTTGTACACATTTTTCACTGTTTGTTTGGAGGGGGGGGTCAGGAAGGAATTTCATTGGCAGAGACCCTGGTTGTTTTTTCTCTCCTTCCACTGCAGTGTGGGGCAGGGATCATTTGCTGGCTTAAACTAGAATAAATGGTAGATTCTCTGTAACTTGAAGTCTTTAAACAATGGTTTGAGGACTTCAGTAACTCAGTCAGAGGTTAGGAGTCTATTTCAGGAGCGGGTGGGGTTCTGGGGCTTGCAATGTGCAGGAGGTCAGACTAGGTGATCACGATGGTCCCTTCTGACCTCAAAGTCTCTGAGTCTAACACTGGAATGAAATTTTGTAAAACCTGACCATTTTTGCTGGTCAAACAAATAAACAGAAAGCAACTATGTAAAAAATGCTCAGTATTTTTAACTTTCCCTTTACCATATAGGGATTCCAAACTCTAGGGGAAGGATAAACATTTGCATATACTGTAGTACTTAAGGGAATATCAGACAGAGCACCATGGTAGACCATTTCCAGCCTCGTTGTTAAATACATAGATTACCTTGTAGACTAAGTCATAAAAGGATAGTTGTTCACTGGGGCAAATTCATCCTTGGTGTAGCTTCCACTGATTTCAATGGTGACACAACAGAGACACATTTGGCCCATTTTCTTGAGTGAACATATTAAAGTCATTCATACTATTGTCATGCATAAGCTACCAGTCGATTCATTTCCTTATGGGTAAGAGACCTCTGAGTTCTGTTAATGTGATGTACGTGCAGTATGAAAGTCACTGATTGTGTTCAGCACACATATATTAGAAAAATCAAGCTGGTTGTTTATATCTAGGGCCTGATTCTAAACCCACGTGCACCATTTTTATACCAGTGTCACTCCTGAGTTACACCTACGTGAGCGAAATCAGACTCAGTCCCCTAATGTGCACTGTAGTGTGTACTGTGCTGATATAGATCTGAAATGAAATTGTGGATCAGACTGGTTATCTGTTCCAGTGGTAAAGGTGCTGCTCATAAACACTACAGCTGCCTTCAAAGGAATGGATTTCTCCCACTCTTCACAGGGCTGAGTTCTAGAATAGCTGCTCTTGCACCATGCAGGTCTTTTATCAACAACTTGCAGAGATCAGGAAGATGCTGAAAAGCTGTTTCTGGAGACTGAGGGCTGCAATTCATCTGAACCAGACAACTATTGGATATAGCTTTCTTTAAAAGCTCCTTAATAGTTAGGTCCCACTGAATGAAAATCAAATAATAAAAAAAAAAAGGAATTTAAATGTTTATCAGTGCTGTGGTGTTTGCATAGAACACATTCTTACCCAACCATGTAACCTCAGCAATTGGCCTCACATAGGCCGAATGAAAAGTTAACTGATTCATTTTGTCCCTGTTGTTTTAATGCAGCTGCATCTGATTCTGAAAGATAAAGACACCACCAGTGTGGGACAGATTGGCTGATAATGCAAATTCTTACATATGAGCCTGACCCAAAAACCGACTGAAGTCCCTGAAGGTCTTTTCACTGATTTCAGTGGGGTTATTCCTATGCCTAAGAGTTTGCAAGATTGGGTTCCAATGCAGTCTTCTTCTAAACTACCGGTCTCTGCGTTTTCTCATTCCGGATCAGATGTGGCTGCCTTAGACTTGGGCCCTAGATGGGCAGTATAAAACATTTGGGCATTTACTATAATTGTATACAATGCATGGACATGAATGTGTTAATCTTCGGCTCTATGCTGTTTTGAAATGTTTGAGAATCCCAAAATTCGGCTGCACGGTCCTGTTCTACATGGGAAAAGAAAACATACCAAATGTCAGAGGTTCTTCAGGAAACTGGCCAAATTTTGAGAAATCAAAACCAAATGAAAAAGAACCTGAGGAGAGGAATTTCACCAGGAATATTTTGCTGAGATCTCCCTGCAGCACAGACCAGCCTTGGGATGGTGAATACCATATCCCGTTTGTCAGCATATGCCTTTCAACTAAATTCACTTAGGGTACATCTACACGGCATTGTAACTCCAGGGCTGTGGGACCTGCGCTTGTGGACTTGATGTTTCCAAGCCCGTGCTTGAGCATCCACACTGCATCGTAAACCTGGGTTTACAATTGCTGGATCCAGGTCTCACAATCATGCTAACGTGACCACACTGCAGTATGCAGCTCTTCTGACTGGAGTCTGCGGCTTCAGCTGCGTCCACACTGCAAACTGACCGGGTCTGGACTCAAGCCTCAACAGGACTCAGGCTCGGACCCACCTCTCCAGCAGGGTCCACAGGCCTGAGTCCAGAGGAGGTGCTGACCTGAGTCAGACTGATGTATGTGTGGATGGAAGGGGGATTTGGATTCAAATCTGAGACTGAGCATGGGTTTATGGTGCAGTGTAGACATACCCCTAGAGTGAATTTCAACCCTGTGCAGAGGGCCAGTATAATTTGTTCATTCCCTCAGAAGCATCTGGGACTGGCCACTGTCAAAAGACAGGATACTGGGCTAGATGGACCTTTGGTCTGACCCAGTATGGCTGTTCTTATGGCCTCAGCACCACTAGGGCTTCAAGGACATCTAAGTGGAGCATATGCCTGATGCTACGGAGGGGTAATTTCACTCGTAAAAGACTATGTCTTTAAATCACTGTACATTGGGCAACCGTCATGCATTTTCACACATCCATCCCATCCATACCCATTCAGAGGGTACTTACCCAAGCTATCCTAAGTGCTTCTGCTGTTGTTTTATGTAGCCAAGTACGTTATTGGAATTACTCCCTGTAAAACAAAATTCTGCAAAATTAGGGTTTACGGCATGTCCTTTCAGTAATGAACGCTTCAGAAAGATTTCTAGCTGTATATTTTAAATGGTATGTGTCTTTGTCATAAACATACAGCTAAGGATAGCATAAAATCCCTCCTTTACCTGTAAAGGGTTAAGAAGCTCAGATAACCTGGTTGGCACCTGACCAAAAGGACCAATAAGGGGAGAAGATACTTTCAAATCTGTGGGGGAAGGTTTTTGTTTTGGGCTTGTGTGTTCTCTCCAAGACAAAGAGAGAGACCAAGCAAGTAATCCAGCTCCTACTGAAATGATACATTTAATATTACAGAAATAGTAAGTAATAGCAAGGAATGCGTTAGATTACCTTTTGTTTTAGCTTGTGAATTTTCCCTGTGCTAAGAGGGAGGTTTATCCCCATTTTTTTTAAAAAAACCTCCCTGCTTTCCAAGCAGCCAAAAGAAAAAAATAAGTCCTTTTAATATCCTGAGATTTGTGCTTCTGGTTCAAAATGATCCCACCAATGCCACCATGTCAGGGTTCCCTCCCCACTCTGAACTCTAGGGTACAGATGTGGGGACCTGCATGAAAGACCCCCTAAGCTTATTTCTACTAGCTTAGGTTAAAAACTTCCCCAAGGCACAAATCCTTCCTTGTGCTTGGATTGGTACTGCTATCACCACCAAGTGAGTTAGACAAAGATTCAGGAAAAGAACCACTTGGAATTCCTGTTCCCTAAAATATCCCCCCAAGTCCCTTCCCCCCTTTTCCTGGGGAGGCTTGAGAATAATCTACCAACCAAATAGGTAAACCAGATTTTTAAAAAACAGAACTTTATTATAAAGAAAAAAAAGTAAAAGAAGCACCTCTGTAAAATCAGGATGAAAGGTAACTTCACAGGGTAATCAGATTCAAAACACAGAGGATTCCCCTCTAGGCAAAACTTTAAAGTTACAAAAAAGACCAACCACCAGGGACAAACCTCCCTCTTAGCACAGGGAAAATTCACAAGCTAAAACAAAAGATAATCTAATGCATTCCTTGCTGTTACTTACTATTTCTGTAATATTAGATATATCATTTCAGTAGGAGCTGGAATACTTGCTTGGTCTCTTCTTTTGTCTCCTGAGAGAACAACAACAAAAGCCCAAAACAAAAACCTTCCCCCACAAATTTGAAAGTATCTTCTCCCCCTGTTGGTCCTCTTGGTCAGGTGCCAACCAGGTTATCTGAGCTTCTTAACCCTTTACAGGTAAAGGAGGGATTTTATGCTACCCGTAGCTGTATGTTTATGACAGTCTTATTTTCCAGTTCTTTGGTGGGGCTGTTGTAGCAGTGGTAGGTTTAAATTACACCGGTGATTCTGCCTTTGGTTACTCCCAGCGCCTCAGTTAGGTCGCATAGGACTAACTGAAGGGAGATTGACCATTCCATTCTAGATCGAAGAGTGATCGTGATCTAACTAAGGTGTGGAAAACCAGCAAGGGGAAAAAAAAAAAAGGTGCAAAGTAGTGGGTAGCTTTTCCTAGCTTTTCGCCTTCCAAGAACAGGATTCCTTTCCTGATTAAATCACAAGTGAAAATGAATTGAATTGGGTGTTTCCCATTCCAGAGGTGACTTCCATATCATAAACCCACCATACATTGCAGCACTGTTGGCAGTCTCAGCTCTGGAAGACGCTGTGGTAGGGGCTTTGCATATCTGCCCTGAGATGCACTGTCAAAGGTGTGCTGAGAAGCTTCTGACGAATGTCTCCCCACTGTGCCATTTCATAGGCAGCAAATTCCTTGTAAACTATGTGACCAGTGTAAAGTTCAGCAATACCAAAGACCCACAGAAGGTGTCTTACCAAAATACTCCTTGTAATATTTATGCCTTAGGTTGCGTCCATCTGCAGAACAATAAGATACATTATGATCAGGCTTGGCAGAATTTGATTTTTTAAAATAATTTTGACAGATGCTATCCATGTTTATTTTAAAGCATTTTTCTCTACTTTTTATTGATTTCAAATTGTTTACAGTTGTGCAAAATTATGGTTTTTAAGCAATTTTGTTGGCTATTTTCATCAATTCAAATTTTCACAGTCACTGGAAATTGGGATGTATGGGGGGGAGGGGTCAGACAACAATTATTTAATGACAGTAGGTGTTGAGATTCAAAAAGATAAAGCTTGATAACCATTAACACAAATTGTCAACGTCGCATGTCAAACTGTATACGGTAAATAGCTTTAAATCAAACTCTGACAGGTTCACAAGCAGGACTTTTCTTACTTCTCCTATCTGTAAATTTAGAATATTATTGACGGAAGTATTTTTCATCAATTTTTGGGTGTATGGTGAAATCGAGATTTACTGATAAAAATAGAATCCGTCCAAGCCTAGTTAGGATAACGTATCCAACCAGGCTTCGCTCTTAACTGCTTTCTTTGGATTAAATCCTGGTCCCTGTGCATAGCCTGAAAACTCTACAGGGAACTAGGGGGACCAAGATTCCTATCCTCAACAATTGGGCAGGGAACAGAGCATGCATCTTGCCTTCCCATGGCTGCAGCTGTGTTGTCTTGGTATCTGTAGGCCGCTATGTAGCTCCTACCAGTACCTTTTGGCCAGTGGATCCATGCAGTCACATCCTCCTCCTAAATACTCTGACCACTAAAAGTAGTCATGATCTAAATAATTAGTCTTTCTTAAACATAAAGCATTTATTAAAGAAAACATAGCTAGAATTTGAGACACTCTAACAGGCTTCCGCACAGTTCAAGTTCCAGCTTCCTCTCCTTTGTTTACCAGGGACCACACTGTGTCCGAAACTTTTACAGCTCAAAGAGACAGCTAGTGCATGAACACCATAAACACAGGTAGATACCATTACGTTAGTGACTAGAGGACATTTAAAAAGCCCTCAAAGACACAAGAAAGGCAAAGGAAGTTGAAATTCTGAAGCCTTTAGTCTTTATTACGGGAAAAAACCACAACAAAAGAGGGCTCTGCTTCTTGATACTTCTACTAGTTTTTATTGTGGTTACGTAGGAAAAGGGGCTGCTGATGTTTTTGGCCTGTGATGAGTTGCATCACAGAGTATATAGTCCATAAATCTTTTACAGAAGCTGCACACGCTTGTACAGATTGAAAACGGTCTCAGAAAACACATCAGCATGTGTGAGCTCCCTTACTGGCAAACACGCCAGTGGAGAAAAAAAAAAAGGATGATCTTTGTGATTGAAACAACAGGAGAAACTCTGGTCAGGTGACACAAAACAATTTCAATCTTGATTTTCTACTGTAGTTTAAGAACTTTACTGTTTGATATTTAAATAGAATGAGCTAAGGTTTACTATCGTCTGTAGATGGGAATAAATTCTTTCCTGTCCCAGCCAAAATGCAAATGCACAGACATTGATCAAATAAATTTACAGGGCCTATCCCCCAGCTTGTAAATTGGCTTAGCTCTTTTGAAGTCAAGTAAATTAAAGAACTCAGTGGAGCTATGCTGAGAATTTGGCTTACAGTCCAGAATGTCATGTACTGCGCACATGAAGAAAAAGAGAGAAAAGTGAATTGCTGCTCGGATTTATTTAGGGGCTGATCCCGAATGGTGCTGAACACTGAACTCCCTTTGGCTTCCCTGGAAATTGAGATCAGTCAGCACCTTTCCAGAAGCCCCGAAAGACCATGAACATGAGCTGTTTGTGTTGATTGTACCCTTGGCATTTTTCAAAGGCAGCAGTTTAATTTTCTCGTGTGATTTAAGGCGTTACACATAGACAGCTTTTAACTGTGCAGTGGTTCCCCCAATTAAATAGTGTCCTATCCTGCATGCTCATAGTGCCTTATCCTTGAGTATCATACCAGTATGATCAAAAGAACACACAGTAAAGACGAGCCACAAAAACATATGCTCCAGATTCTGCCCCCAGTTAAGTAATGGCAACCCACTGTTCTCTCTGTGGGGTGGCTGATGTATAACTAGATGCAGACATTAGCTCCCCCATGTTTATTACAGGGTGTTCATCTCACTCGGAACTCCTTCCCCACCCCCACTTCCTCACCCCCTGAATTTAGCTCCCATATTTGGTCTTATGGCATTTTCTTTTAAGGCCAACGGAATGACTTGATTGCCAGCACCATGTGCATGCGAGACTTGGGTTCCGAAGCATCCACTCAACTGAGACAGCAGGGAATGGAGAGGCTGCCGGGGGGTTGGGGTGGGGAGCAGGGGGAGATGATGTTCAGTCTTGGGGGATAGCTGCCTGCAACGCAGCAGGAACATTTCCTTTGTCATATGGAAGTGTGATGGAGCCATGGTGGAAAGATCAGATACATCGCTGAAGAAACCCGGGATTAAAAGAGGGAGGAGGTGAAAACCCAGGAACGCTACTTAGCTTGACCTGACAAGCCCTTATCTGCCTCAGGGCAGGTGAGAGACCCCTCAGCATAGTCCCTACGTTGGACAGAGTAAGCGAGGATGGATGTTTTTGAATGAACTGACCGGGATTTCCTCGTAGCTTGATGCACTGACCCCTGTTGGGGATTCCTTCGGCTGTGTTGCCAGGATTGATGATGTGGCATTCGTATCCTGTAGGGCAATGCAGAGGCTCATCCCCATCCTCAGTGGTGCTGCAGGCCTCCGCTGGAAAACAAGCCTGCGTGTCATAAACCTAGATTTTATTAGGCCAGGATAACCGGAGAAGGATAATCCTGCTGTGTTCTTTGGAAGCCCCTCCCAGGAAAAGATCTCAAAGTGCTTTACAAACAGTAATATTGAATATTTAACACGTGTAGAGAGCTCGACACGGCTTTACTCCATTCAAAGAGAGGGGAGAATGACTGTTTCCACTAACTGGAGAGTCCCTAGCTAGCTGCCTTTCTGTTCTTCCTGCAGCCCGTTCTACGGGCTGTGTGCTGGGGCTGGAGACCGGTGGAAAAGAGGGGTGGCTGGCAGTGCTCTGAACAGTTGGTGGCCTCTCCAGGACTGTTACCAGCTGGCACAATTTAGAGCAGCCATCAAGCTGCTTTAACCAGCACCCGGGATTAGATCAAGAACCAGGGAACTGTTACCAACTCCCTGGTAGTTCTCCCCTTCTTCTGTGCCCAGAGGTCACTGGGCTAGCAAGGAATGGTTCCAAAATATTCAAGATGCTCTACATCTATTAACTAATAAATTAATTCTCACACACGACTCCTGTGGGGTAACCCAGTATTACCCCATCTGTAAGATGGGGAAACTGAAGCACAGAGAGGTTAAGAGACATGGCCAAGGTTATGCAGCAAGTGTGTGTCAGAGCTGGGAACAGAACCTGGGACTCCGAACTCCCGTTTCTGTACTTTAACCACAAGACCACGTAGAGGCACCCTACACTTTCTTTCTTTCATTTGCTGGAATTTTAATTTCAGGACAGTCTCCTATAATGCCCATGCCTTGATTGAGGGTACTCACTTCTGGAGCACTTCATGCTAACTGCTCCATTCAGCTGTAATCAAATAAAATAAGAGTCAAAAATAAATGGGGGGGGCAGTATATTTTACTGACATTTGTACAACCCTAGTGAAGTCAGTGGAGTTGAAGGCAGAATTTTCTCATTAGGAATTGCCAGTCTGGATCAGAGCCGGCATCCATATATCCTGTCTCTGATAGTGGCCAGCCCCAGATGCTTCAGAGGAAGGTGGAAGGACCCCCACAGTAGGCAGATGTGGGATAATCTGCCCCATTTCTTTGATCTCATCCAGGTCTCTAATAATGACTGGCCTAAGCCTTGAAGCAAGACTGTCCGAGTACTTTAGAACCATTGGTTAATAAATTAAACCTGCAAGGCAGGTCGTTTTGTGCTCACTTTATACATCTGGAAACGGAGGCAATGAGGTTTAAGGCCTGATTTTCAGACTTCAGGCCTGCACTTACTTTAGGAACCTACTTTCTGCATGCCCAGCTGTGCATGCATGGGAAACACACATGGAACTGCATGAGCAACATCTGGAGTCTGCAAATCAGGCCCCCAAGAGACAGGCTCAAGGCCACCAAGGGTGTCAGTGTCAGGGCTGAGAATGACAATTCTCAAGTTCCTACTTTCCAGGCCTGTGCTCAGATCACACCTCCCTACTAAGGTGGGACTGGATAGCTCAGAGAATTTGTAATGGGATGTGATTTCATCTTTATTTAAGAGTTGACATGACCATGATCTAGAAGTTCCTACACAGGGAGAAGATTTCTGATAAGAGAGGGGTCTTTAATTTCAAAGACCAAGCCTAACAAAATGGAGTGGCTGGAAGCTGATACTATACAAATTCAGGCTAGCAATGATATAAAGATAATAGCATCTAGCTCTTACATAGAGCTTTTCATCAGTAGATCTCAAAGCACATTACAAAGGAGGTGAGTATCATTATCCCCATTTTACAGATAGGGAAACTGAGGGACAGATCAGGGACATGACTTGCTGAAGGGCTTGATGCAGGAATTTACTGTGTGAAATCCTCTGGCCTGTGTTATAGAGGACATCAGGCTAGATGATCACAATAGTCCCTTCTGGCCTTGAAATCTATTAACCTAAAACTCATTTAAATAAAGTGCATCTCAAGCATCTCTTAGAAAATAGTGCAATGGACTGTGTTGGAGAAATGAATTATCTAAAGGGTAGAAAAATATAAAAGAATTTTTGCTTTTCTATGTGTCCCTGCTGATGCAACATTTCAGAGCTTAGTTATAACAGCTTAAGGACTGTGTAAACTATGAAACCTAATTTGTGTGTCTTGCTTTGTAAAACCTTATCTATGTAAATAGCAGGGTGAAACAGAACATCATGAGGGAATTGTTAATTTCAGGTGCCCAGCAAGACAAGCAAACAAGCAAAAACCCAAAGTCACAAAAACTGACCAGTAAGATAAAATTAGATGGAGCCAGTAAAATAAACAGCAGAGAATACAAAGGAAATCAGTATAGAAGTAGACCAAAAAAAGTTTTAACAGGGTATTTAACAGGGTAAGCAAAGTTTTAACAGGGTAAGCAAAAATGTATTAGTTTAGGTTCGTTATGATTTATGCATAAAAATGTTTAGTCAGGTTGAGAATGGGTAGGTTCACAGATGAGGTAACTGAGCATGAGTTAAGACATGGAACAGGGTATAAAAGACAGTGGTAGACAACACGAGAGTGAAGAAGACACAGCGTAAGAACATAGCAGAGGCCAGAGATTTGCAAAAGAAGTCCTCCTGTCCCTTCTTCTTAGTGTTTACACAATGTTCCTCAGGTGGACCATGACCAGGATTCATCACTGGTTGGATCATTACTGAATCATTACTATGATTACTGATCATAGGCTGAGTACTGATAGGGAGTGTGCCAGGAGAGGTAACTTGATCAATTTCTTTCCTGGTCTTATCTGTTTTTGCATGTATATGCAGCGTAGTTGTAGCCACGTCAGTCCCAGGATATTAGAGATACAAGGGGAATGATGTAATAGCTTTTATTGGACCAACTTCTGTTGGTGAGAGAGGCAAGATAAGATAAGAGCTCTGTGTGGCTTGAAAGCTCGTCTCTCCCACTAACAGAAGTTGAGCCAATAAAAGATATTACCTCACCCACCTTGTCTCTTTGAATGCATATGGCATTCATAGGTGGTAACAGCACGGTCTTAAAATGTACAAAATAAAGGTTAAATGAAACTCTATAAGCTTGAATGGGAGTGGATCGCGTTGGTCACCAAATACAACACACAAACTAATCTCGCATTGGGTTATGTAAATCAGTTCTATGGAGTTGGGGTTATGTATTGGGAAGGAAATGACTCTCCCCTTTGCACTTGGTCCATCTAACCCAAACACCCATGCATGCAGAATGACATGCAATACTGTAGTGTCAGATTATGCTATCATGGCATACCCAGCTCTGAGGGCAAAATCTTCTTTTACAAGTTGCATTGGGTATATCCTTTGCTCATCCTGTTCACATCACTTTCCCTGACAATCAGATTTTCATGCACTAATGAGCACTGGTTATGCATCTGCATGGCAGATGGAAGAAGAGAATTTTGCCCCTACTAAAGAGGCTTTCAACAGAGCTGTATATTAAAAACAAATCTTTTGCTTTAGATTTGAAATACTGTTCACTTCACAAACCCTGGAGTCACCTTTCCACATGGGGTACAATCACAAATCTGTTATTATTTGGCCTTTTGCACTGTACATCTGTATCTCATTTAATGGACAATTAGTTTACAGGAAGTGTTCTTTCCACGCTAACACTGGGTCTGCAATGTAGATTAAGTGGTGTTTCACAGGGGTCTGAGGCTTTGAACTGAAACCACAGTATTTACTATTCTCCCTTGAAAAAGGGCGGATTTATTGGCACTGAACTGCATCTGACTTGCATATTATTTTCCAAATCAGTGTCCTTCATCCAGCAGAATTCAACAACCCACAATACCCAGGTGATTAAAATGCCGAGTTGCGCTCATTGTACCTTGTAAAACTTCCTCTGGTCCGTCTAACAACCAACCGTTTCCTCCAAGCCAACGTGGTTTCGGCTGCACCAACCAGTCTAAAACTATTAAAAAACCCACATTGTTAAGGATGAGCAGTCACAGGGCACACAATTACTTTCATGCCACTGATTTTCTCCAGTCCCTGATGATAAGGCAGGCGGAGTTCTTCAGGGAGGGTTTTACTGTGTGTGTTTCAGTGACGTATTTACGTTCGCAGTCATTCAAAATGTCCCAGCCACAGCCTGATTGCAGCAGTCATAGCAAGGACCCCTGCAACATGGCGGTACAAAGGGCCTAAGCCTGCAGAATGCTGAGCAACCTTTGAGACCCTGGTCCAAAATCCATTGACGTTAATGGAAGGACCCTCATTGACTTCCGTTGGCTTTGGACTGAGCCATGACTAGGCACCTTGTAAGATCTGGCCCAAACTGGATAGAGCTTTATTGAGTGCTGCTAAAAGTCAGAGCAAATCCCCCCGGAGCATGCTCAGAAGTTTCTTTCTTGCTCCCTGTGTAACCCAAGAGAAGTCAGAGTTCAATGAGAATGATGTCTGTGCCAAGTTTCAAGCCATTTTGACTGTCTCCCTGGCTATGTGTAAACTTATGTTGGCGTGTAGAGTACCGGCATTACATGTGTCACGACCCATGGCCTGGCAGACAGGCTGTGTCCATACATGCCACTGCAGTGTGTAGCTAAACATGGCAACGAATGTCTCTGGCAGCTGGGAGGCAACGGGAAAGGTTCTGGCAGTGGGGAGCTGATGGAGCTTTTCACCACTGCGGGAGCCTTTCAGTGCAGTGGGGAAAGGCTCTTGCAACGAGACACTACATGGTTAAAAATAGCAATGTAGGCATGGTGGGTACTGCTTGGGTAAGTAGACAGCCATGTAGCGTGCGTACCCTGGGGGTTCAGGCATGTAGGGCACTTACTCTACGCTACTTACCTAAGCTGTGCCTCGCCAGCTACACTGTTATTTATACCTGTACTAGCTGGGCGTGCAGCATCTGTACATGCTGCCGTAAGTGTAGACCACCCATCTCTTTAAAAAGATGGTGTTAGAATTATTTCACAGTTGGAAAGGAATATCTTTCTGAACTCTCCCTTAACTTGGAAACAGAAGAAAGGATTTTGCTCAAACTTTTCAAATAAATTCATCTACAGGCAGAGACTAAATACATTGCAACACTAAGAGTATCCACTATAATAAAAGGAAAATGACTGTCCTAAAGCTAGTTCTCAACAATAATGAAAATCTCTGATTTTGGCAAGTAGCTGGTTAAAGCATCTTGGTTTTTCCTATAAAAAGGTTACTAGCAGAACTGGTTGAAAAATGCAGAAAACCTTTTACAAACATTTTTTGTCATAATTTTGAATTTTGGAAAAGTTCCAAACTGACTGAAGACCAGCAAAAAATGTACTCAGATTTTTTTTTCAAAGTTTTGCAAAGTTTTCACTTAAATTTTGAAAATTCAAAAATTCTCCACTCTCTCTCATTACCTGCCATGCGGCCATGAACTTGGGTTAATGTATAATATAGCGAAAATAACTAATCTCGTGATTTCTGCCATTCAAGTTGGTGGAAATCTTGCCAAATATTGCCAAAGTTGGTCGAAATCTTGCCAAATCTTACAAATCTTGCAAGATCAACAGTTGTGTGCAACTTCCTCTCTCTTGAGCCAAAAATCACACAAGGGCAGCTCTCAACTATTCGCCGCCACGGAACCAAAGATTAGTTCTTGATTCAGGCTCAAACCCCAAGTCCTATTTTAGACCTAATTGTAGTGAGGCAGTGTAGGTCCCTGCCGCCCCAGAGAGAGACAAGCCCCTCTGGACACCAGAGTGGGTGGAGCCAGGGAGCTCTGAGCCCGCCACCCAGAGGGTCAGGTATGGCACAGGAAGTATAAAGGCCAGACCCAGAGCTCCTTGAGAGGAGCTGCCAGGGAGACCAGACTCATCTGGCCTACCTCCTGGTTGGGAAGCCCCAGCGACCTGCAGTGGACCCAAGGGCTGGCCGGCTACCCGGAGGAGTTGCTGAGCCTGCCCCAGGCCAGGTACCCGGAGGAGTTGCCGAGTCTACCCCTCGCCACCTATCCCGAAGAACCCATGGTGCTGGACCCCCCTGAGGACACCACCCTAACCCAGGTACCTCAAGAGGGGGAGTCTGGAAGTAGCCCGGGGCCCTGCTAGACCTCTTCCCGAACTTAGTGAGTCGGTGGGGGTCCCCGCCTCCCCAGAGAGAGACAAGCCCCGGCTAACCTCTCTACACTAATATATATGGGGATACACCCCCCATTTTACAGCCTACCATTGTTATTTCAGCTGTTTCTGTTTGTATCTGGGCAACATCTTGGACATTTCTTTCTGAGGCAGTTTGATCTCACAGCCTACCATACCTGGAGGTGGCTGTACTGATTCTAAGCAGGCATAGATGCACCCATTGTAGCAACAACGCTTGTGTCTTTCACATTCAGAATCTGAACGGCAGCTGGGCACCTCACATGCTCGCTCTGGTAAAGTCTGCGGGGGTGGAGGGCAGCGGTCATTCTTCTGGTAGTGGGCGCTGTGAGAATGAAGAGGGTACTCATAATCCTTGCAAAAAAAAGAAAAAAAGGGAAAACACAGATTTGGCATAAGGGAGAACATTTGGTCAACATTAAACATATTGCAAAGTGACATAGCTGGAGTGAGCATTAAGAAGTGACTGACTTCACGTATTCATCAAGGAAGTGATACCACCACCCTTGCCCTCAGTTTCCCCACCTGTAAAATGAAGATACTAATCTGTTGCTACCTTAGCAAAGTGCTTGGAGATCAGCTGATGAAATGTGTTACCTAAATACCAAGTACTACTATTTATTTCATTGTTTTAATGATGTAGAAGCGTTCAGGAGTTTAATTTTTAAATCCCTAAAATGTCCATTACACTTGTCTGAAAGAGTAAGACAGAGAGGCAGTAGGCACTTCAGTAACCGGTGCCTTAAAAATACTCTAGCGAGAAAGAGAGGTAAGTTGAAATGAAGATGATGATAGAGAGGCCTTATTGTTCCTGTGTTTCATAATCATTCTGTGTTTGTTGTAAGTGATTAATGCCAGCAGCCTTTTACGAATTTAAAACCTTCCTGTAAAGTGAGATGGCCACTATGGATGTAGAAGCCCTCTACACCAACATTCCACACAAAGATGGACTACAAGCCATCAGGAACAGTATCCCCGATAATGTCATGGCAAACCTGGTGGCTGACCTTTGTGACTTTGTCCTCACCCACAACTACTTCACATTTGGGGACAATATATACCTTCAAGTCAGAGGCACTGCTATGGGTACCCGCATGGCCCCACGGTATGCCAACATTTTTATGGCTGACTTAGCTCTCGTCCCCTAACACCCCTACTCTACTTGTGCTACATTGATGACTTCTTCATCATCTGGACCCATGGAAAAGAAGCCCTTGAGGAATTCCACCATGATTTCAACAATTTCCACCCCACCATCAACCTCAGCCTAGACCAATCCACACAAGCGGTCCATTTCCTGGACACTACTGTGCTAATAAGCGATGGTCACATAAACACCACCCTATACCGGAAACCTACTGACCGCTATACTTACCTACATGCCTCCAGCTTCCATCCAGGACACACCACAAGATCCACTGTCTACAGTCAAGCTCTACGATACAACTCCAATCCCTCAGACAGAGACAAACACCTACAAGATCTCTATGAAGCATTCTTAAAACTACAGTACCCACCTGCTGAAGTGAAAAAACAGACTGACAGCCAGAAGAGTACCCAGAAGTTACCTACTACAGGACAGGCCCAACAAAGAAAATAGAACGCCACTAGCTGTCACCTTCAGCCCCCAACTAAAACCTCTCCAGCACACCATCACAGATTTACAAACTATCCTGAAAAATGATCCCTTACTCTCACAGATCTTGGGAGACAGACCAGTCCTCGTTTACAGACAGCCCCCCAACCTGAAGCAAATACTCTCCAGCAACCCCACACCACACAACAAAAACACTAACCCAGGAACCTATCCTTGCAACAAATCCTGACACCAAATCTGTCCATATATTTATTCAAGTGACACCATCATAGGACCTAATCACATTAGCCACGCCATCATGGGCTCGTTCACCTGCACATCTACCAATGTGATATATGCCATCATGTGCCAGCAATGCCCCTCTGCCATGCACATTGGTCAAACCGGACAGTCTCTACGCAAAAGAATAAATTGACACAAATCTGACATCAGGAATCATAACATTCAAAAAACGGTAGGAGAACACTTCATGCTCTCTGGTTACTCAGTAACAGACTTAAAGGTGGCAATTTTGCAACAGAAAAGCTTCAAAACCAGACTCCAGCGAGAAACTGCTGAGCTTGAATTAATATGCAAACTAGATACCATTAACTTGGGTTTAAATAGAGACTGGGAGTGGCTGGGTCATTACACATATTGAATCTATTTCCCCATGTTAAGTATCCTCACACCTTCTTGTCAACTGTCTAAATGGGCCATCTTGATTATCACTACAAAGTTTTTTTTCCTCCTGCTGATAATAGCTCATCTTAATTAATTAGCCTCTCACAGTTTGTATGGCAACTTCCAACTTATCTGTATGTGTATATATATATATATATCTTCTTACTATATGTTCCATTCTATGCATCCGATGAAGTGGGCTGTAGCCCACAAAAGCTTATGCTCTAATAAATTTGTTAGCCTCTAAGGTGCCACAAGTACTCCTGTTCTTTTTGCGGATACAGACTAACACAGCTGCTACTCTGAAACCTCTGTATGAAATGTCCAGCTTTGTACCAGAAGCTGCAGAGGAGGACACATGGCCATTTAATACTATGCCAAGTCAAACTGTATTTGGATATGGGGAAAATACGGCCTATTCTTAATCACACATAAACGATGAGGAAAACTCTCAAGTAGAATTAGCAGAGCGTGGTACTTTCCCTGACAAGCATAAGCAGCGGCATACAAAGTAACATGATTCACAAAGATGGCATTTGGACGAGAAGCCAACTCCCTGCGTTCCACAGAAATTGACAAGCGGCTCAAGCCTGATTCATACTCCCCATGGGCCAAAGCCTTCATCCCTGCGCTCAGACATGCAGTGTGAGGCAGGGGAGTTCTGTGGGAAAGGGGGAGGAACAAAATTTCCCCACCTCAGGCGCTCTGCAGACACTACAGCTGACTCAGCTTCCACCTGCCCTGGTGGGGGGGGCTGCATATGTGGATCAGCCCCACCCACTGGCCATGCTTCTCCTCCTGTGCTTCCCTCCTCATGGCAGTGCCTATGTGACCTTCTGAACATCAGCTGTCTGTGTGCCAGTCCCATGGTGTCAATTAGAGCAACCTGGCAGCTGCTATCATTTGCACTAGCTGCCAACTTCCTTAAGGAGCTAATATGGGGAGCCCCAGGCATGCCCTTTCCCCTTGATCACACCCCTTTTCCCAAGGGGAAAAGAATAGGATTGGGGTCCATCCTCTTCTCAGTGTCTGGGAAGCTATGCAGAGGGCTGGGAAGAGGGTAGCCAAGGATCAGATATAGTGACTCTAGGCCACAGCAGGTGGCTCTGACAGATCACGGCAAGCATTCCCTGGCTAGCTAAGTCAGCCTTAGGGCTGCTTTGTGTTGGTGGGACAATGCAAAGCATCTTCAGTGCAGGGGAAAATCAGACCCATTGTCTAAATAATACATCACTCCTTGGAGGAATGATTTTTGACTTCTGAATTTTTATGTTCCTCAGACACAAAGATTTCTTGTCTCTTTTGCTATCTAACTATTACCATGTGCTATCAGCAAAGTGTCTATTAATGCTCTGGAGTATGAAAAAAATAACTTTTGTTGGATTTGCAAAAGAATATGGTGTCAGTATGTGTGAGCACGTGAGAGAGACAGAGAACCTGGGGAATGTAAGTGAAACTAAGCTAAACTGAAGAGAGCAAACTTCAGAAATAGAGATTAGAAAAGTTTGACTATAATCAAATATTGGGATCAAACTAGACTCAGCTCTCATGAACACAGGTGTAATGCCAAATAAACTCCACCAAAGCCAAAGGAGTTACTCTGAATTTACACCCTGTAACTGAGATCAGCATTTGGCCCAAAATGATAAAGCTGCAAATGGAGACAAGAAAAGAACTTGCTATCAGATTGTTTGGTTTAAGACTCTACCTACACTCTCGTAATGATGTCCAGCACCCTAGCATTTGCAAATCAGTCACAAAGGGGCAGATTCTCTACTGCATTGCACCACTCTAGTCAGGCCACTCTCAAGAGGGCATCATCAGGTTACAGAGGAACTTGGATTAACACTGAGAGATTCTCCCCATGTCTGGGCACTGCTAAATCATCCCTGCCAGAGGTACCTTCTCCCTGGGACTCAACAACGCCTCTGGAAAGCAAATGTTTGTCTTTAGGGTACAGCTCATTGAACTAGATGTTGAAAAACAAACTTCCTGGGACAGGATACCGATAGGATCCCCTGCAAGACCTTGAACTCACAAGCTGGATACTCCCCTGTAGTAACAACACATCCAGTATGTTTCTCAGGTACAATGTATAAGCATTTCCCATGATTTGCATCTAAGATAAGTCTGCTTGCCAAGAGTTTCTGCCTCTCTCCTTGGGCCTGGTAATGGTTATGTGTGGGAAACTGCTTTTCTTTAAATAAGAACGCAAATAGATTTTCCAATCACTCAGTCTTCTCCTTCCCAAATAAATGCACACAGCAGGCATAGGTTAAGGGGGGGAAAATTATGGGAGCCCTTCATTCAAATATTGTCATTACATCAATGTACAAGGAAACATTTAAGCAAGATTTTGAAGGCTTCACTGCAATGCTTTTAGATTCCTCCAGATGGCCTCAGTTTGCAACTATTGAGAGGCAGTGCACAAATAACTGGATTTATTAACTTTGGGACTGACTGCTCCTACTATGGCCTTGTTGTTATGAATGAGTGGATTGTAATCAGTTATTTTAAAATGTAATTAGGAATAACTAATAGTTCATTTCATAGGAAATTGATGCAATTCTGTTCAAAGTGATAAGGGGAAAATGTTGTATATTATTTGTAATGCTGACATGATAGATTTTACCTCCACTTTCTCTGTAATGAATCATGCATAACATATAGTGACAACAATGTAATATTTCTTTATTTCAGCCAATCTCATACATTTGTGCAATGACAAGAACCAGCCTTAATAATAGGGAACATTCCCAGATGTCTGAAATGCCCTCTGATTGAGATGCATCCAATATATTATGTGGGAACTGTAGTGTAAACCCACCCAGGTTCTCAATTGTTCTAACAAACAATTGGAGCTTGTAGATCATGGGGTGTGGTAGGGAAAATCCAGATGATGATTGGTTTTTAATTTGTTGAGAAGTGAGGGGAAAAAAGCCTAATTCACCAGTATTTCCACAAATGAAAGCACCAAGTTATATTCACACTGTCAGGTTCTAATATGCCTAATCATGTTGACAAGCACTTTATTCCACTAGCAGTCCATGTATTTAACAGGCACTTATGGAGTAAGGTGCTGCTCAAAGTAAGG